TGCAAAAATCTGGACACAACACTAACAGAAAAGGCAATGTCAGGTCTAGTGTGCGTTAGATAATTCAAGCCACCAACTAAACTTCTAAACAATTTAGGACTTGCTTTCTCAGTTCCATCTGCACGCTGTAACTTTTCATTGATATTCATCGGTGTAGTTGCTACTTCACAGTTTATCATATGGAACTTTTTCAAAAGATCCTCTGCATATTTCTTTTGAGAAATAAAAATTCCATCTTTATCTTGGATCACCTCAAGCCCCAAGAAATATTTCAGTAAGCCCAAGTCAGACATCTCAAAGTTTCTCATCATACTGGACTTGAAATCATTAACTAAAGACTTAGAACCAATATAAATCATATCATCAACGTAGAGACAGACCAACAAAAATTCGTCAGTACCTTGTTTCTTCAAGTACAAAGTGGGCTCATTGTCACTTCTTCTGAATCCGCTACCTTGAAAGAATGAGTCAATTTTGCTATACCATGCACGTGGAGCTTGCTTTAGCCCGTAAAGAGCTTTTCTTAACTTGTAGACTTTATTCTCGTTGCCAGTAATCATAAAGCCTTGAGGTTGTGAAATATAAACCTCCTCTTCTAAATCGCCATTCAAGAAAGCAGACTTCACATCAAATTGATACACGGGCAAGTGCAATTGCGTAGCCAAAGCCAAAACAACTCTCACTGTTTCAAATCAAGCAACAGGAGAAAAAGTTTCGTCAAAATCTACACCTTGTTGTTGTGAATATCCTTTCGCCACGAGTCGAGCTTTGTGCTTTTGAATGCTCCCATCAGCATTGTACTTTGTTCGAAACACCCATTTGAGCCCTATTACATTCTTTCCTTCAGGTGCATCAACTAACTCCCATGTAGAATTTCTTTCAATTGCTTGCATCTCTTCAATCATAGCATTCTTCCATTCAGATTGTTCTACTGCTTCTTCATAACAAATAGGATCTGAAACAAGCAAAACAAATTGACAAGAAGTAATTACAGTGTTAGAGTACTTAGGATTCAGTTTCTTTTCCCTTGTTGATCTTCTAAGTGGAATCGGCTCAACTGAAGACTCATTAGGTGCAACAGTTGTTGATGGTGCAATTAGTGAGCTAAAATTCACCAACTTGGTTTCTACCTCTTTCGCTACCACCACGGCCTCGACCACAAAAATTGCCTCTGCCATGTCCACGTCCTGCTAAGTTTTCTGCTTTTCCCTTGTAGCCAAACTCCCCCTTAACCTGGAATGCCTTATCTTGAACTTTCTCACGAGACCTATTTAGCCTATCTTCATGAGCTAGCAAGGAACTCATTAATTCATCGAAAGAATAGGTAGATAGGTCCTTAGATTCCTCAATTGCAGTAACAACATGCTCAAATTTTGTGGTTAAACTTCTCAACACTTTTGACACAATAATTTGATTATCAATTTTCTCACCATAGGACCTCATCCTATTAACAATAGCAGATGTTCTAGACAAATATCCTTGCACAGATTCATTTTCATTCATGAATAATGTTTCAAAATCCCGTCTGAGAGTTTGTAATTTAACAGTAATTACCTTATCATCTCCAAAGTACTCTTGCTTCAGGATCTCCTATGCTTGTTTGGAAGTCTCAGCAGCTGATATGCGAGGAAAAATTTCATCATCAAGAGCCTGCTGGATCGTGAAAAGAGCTTTTGAGTCTCTCTTCCGATGTTCTCTCAGCTGGTTTGCATCCCCTTTTGGAATTTCGGTCTCAATTATATGAAGGTGTTGTTACTTGTTGGGGTGTGACATGTCTTCCTCGCAAAACCCACAGGGGTCTACGTAAGGTTGCTTGTATTGGTGCCTGGCATCCTGCTAGAGTTTCATTCACAGTGGCTCGTGCTGGTCAAAATGGATACCATCACCGTACTGAGATGAATAAGAAGGTTTACAAGCTTGGCAAGGTTGGACAGGAGTCCCACACTGCACTAACTGAGTTTGACAGGACTAAGAAAAAGATTACTCCTATTGGTGGATTTGCCCATTATGGTGTGGTGAATGATGATTACCTGTTGATCAAGGGATGCTGTGTTGGTCCTAAGAAGAGGGTTGTAACCCTGCGTCAATCCCTGCTCAACCAGACCTCTCGTGTTGCTCTTGAGGAGATTAAGCTGAAGTTCATCGACACATCCTCAAAGTTTGGACATGGTCGCTTCCAGACCACCCAAGAGAAGCAGAAATTCTATGGACGCACGATAGCTCTGATACCAAGAATGTTGGCAGAAGATATGAGCGACTACTCGAGTAAGACGTTAACAGAGAGAAACTTGATCTTTTTTTTATTACTTCAGAAGACAACGCTGCAAGTCTTTAAATAGAACTTGGAAAGAAACAAATTTAGAGAAAAAATAGGGCACTAGTTTAGCACTAACCCATGACCTGCTAACTAACCATTATCAACTAATTAGGATTCCTAGAGCTAGTTAACTGAAAACATAAAAGACTCCTAAAAGTACTGCCACTAACAACATTAAACTTTTGAATCAGTCAACTAACACACTTCAGGAGAGAGATAGCAATAGGTTTTAAAAAAAGTGGAAAGGTAAGTAAAATCATAAAACCACTGACCTTAAAAGAATGTCGACTTTTCTGGGATCAATTGCTGCAATTACTTCATCTGTGATTGAAGGCTTGCATTAAAAGAGCGCCACTTTATGGAGACACTACATTTTATAAACAAGAAAAAGAAAAAATGTGCATGATAAACATGGTCATTAAAAGTAAATAAGCCGATAATATTTGTGAAGAAAATAATTTGATATCTAAAAAAGGTGGTGTCTAAATTGATCAACAAATATCAAATGGCTTTTGTAAAGGGGAGGCAAATCATGGATGCAAAACTCATTGCTGGTGAATGCACTGACTCAAGAATGAAAGGAGGAGTCCCTGGTCTAGTGTGCAAATTGGATATTCAGAAAGCCTGTGACCATGTGAATTGGTCTTTCCCTCTGAATACTCTCAAGCAAATGGGATTTGGTAGCAAATGGATGAAGCAGATTGAGGTATGTATAAAACAGTCAAGTTTTCGGTCCTAGTGAATGGAGAACCTGTGGGCTTTTTCGAATCAGAAAAAGGGCTGAGACAGGGTGATCCTCTCTCCCCTTTCTTATTCATTTTGGCAATGGAAGGCTTTGATAGTATGATGAGGATTGCAACATTAAATAGATGGATTAGAGGCTTTCAAGTCAGGGGTAGAGTGGGGGAAAGAAAAAGAAGAGTGTCATATGCTCTATGCGGATGACGCTATCATATTTTCTCTAAACCTACAACAGAACAGATTAGCTACATCAGAGTGATTTTGGTTTTGTTTGAAGCAGTTTCAGGGTTAGAAGTAAACTGGGGAAGAAGTAGTCTCTTTGCTGTAAATGAGGTCCTCATATCCAGCAACTTGCAAGTATACTGGGATGCAGAGTGGAGCATTTGCCTACCATAGATCTGGGTAGCCAACACAGAACAATGGAGATATGGAATGATATTCTGGAGAAACTAAAAAGAAACTTGCTAGATGGAAGGCACAATATCTATCCCTAGGGGGTAGATTGATGGAACTTCCTATGGAAAAGTAATGAGGGAAAGGGTTATAACTTAGTCAACGATGAAATGGTTGTGGAGATACACTGAGGAAGATGCAGCTCTTTGGAAGGAGGTTATAGTAGCAAAATATGGAGAACTAAACCCTTGGTGTACGAAAATCACCTCTGAACCATATAGGGTGGGGGTATGGAGGACAATCAGGAACCTATAGTCACAAATGGAAGGAAATATGTATATCAAGGTGGATAATGGAAACAAAACTAAATTTAGGAAAAATAGTTGGATAGACCAAACCTCTCTTAGGGAACTTTTTCCAGATATCTTTCTAATCTGTGAGAACCTTGATGCTAAAGTGAGTGACTGTTGGACAGAACAGGGATGGGACATATCTTTAAGAAGACTACTTAATGGTGGAGATGGTGGCAATGCTACTGGGGAAACAAGCTGAAATGATTATAACCACAACAGCAACAGACAAGATTCTATGGAAACATATTAAGGATGGAGTTTTTTCAGTCAACAATGCCTACAAAAGAGGACTACAAGGGATGACGGGACCCAAAATATAATTGGAATTACTTTTGGAAGAGTGACATTCCTACAAAACTAAAGTATATTACTTGGTTAGTGTTAAAGAGAGCATGTTAAACACAAGAAGTTCTACTGAAGAAAGGCAGGCAGCTAGTCCCTAGGTGTTTCCGGTGAAACTTGACAGGGGGAAACAAACAACCATCTCTTCCTGCATTGAATGTTTACTGCTCGAATTTGGAATATGTTTCTCAACATCACAAGCATGAACTGGACAATGCCAGAACATATATCAGATATGTTGAGCTGTTGGATTAGGAGGGGAGGCAGTAAGAGTCAAAAGAGATAGTGGAAGTTGATACCATCATGTGTATGGTGGTCAGTCTGGAAAGAAAGAAATGGAAGATGCTTTGAAGATATCCAATTCCATCCACAAAGTTAAATGGAATTGTATAGTATCTCTACTTTTGTGGTGTAAACAACTTTGTATAAATGATATAGATCAGATTATAGATTTGATAAGAAATCTGCAATCCTCCCTTTTTGGAGGTAGCCAGCATACCCTGCTAAAGAATTCAACCTTACCAGTTACAAAAATAAATAAATTATATTACCTAAAAAAGTTATACTTCCTCCGACACAATTTATGTGGTGGAGCTTAACTGGGCACAAAGCTTAAGAAAGAAAGCAAAGACTTTTTTGAAACTTGTGATCTAGAACAAGCCATAGAAAGAGTGCATCACTCAAGATAATCTTAGAAAGAGGAACATATAAACTATCATAGATGCTATGCGGTGTGCCTACAAGATAGACAATCTATCAACCATATTTTCCTTCATTGTAATTTGGCAACAGATATTTGGAGCATGTTCCTTTCTATTTTTGGACTTAATAGGGTCATGGCACTGAAAACCAAAGATGTCTTTCTCTCCTGGTGTTTATGGAGAGTTGATAAACCCATCAAGAAAATCTGGCTGATGATATATGCTAATATCTTTTGGTGTGCGTCACAACTCCAAACCACACTCTTAAATCTAGATGTCTACTCAATTTGTTTAGTTGGAATAGTCTTAGCATTGTAAATAGCTCTAACCAGTTTTAAGAGTTTTGTTAGCTCCCTGAACCTAGTATAGTTGTTCTATATGTACTGGAGCTGACATATGTCTCTCCTTGTAACTTTTGTATTTTTCTGCATCTTTTTTATGCTATCAATGAAATCTTTTACTTCATCCAAAAAAGCATGCCATCGACATTTGTGTAGCTCTAAATCATCTCATTAAGGGTAAAACATGAAATTTAAAGTTAAATTATTTCTCATTCTAGAAAGATGATTCTTTTTGGACAAACTAAAAGTTAAGTGCGTCCTATAAAATGGAACAAAGCTAGCTATCTACTTTTTTCTGTAATGAAAAAATTCCCGAGGACCAATGATGCAAAGTTCAAAACTCGATGGATAATGGTCTGCCCCCTATCCTTCACTTAAATGCAAGGCTTTTGGAAGTGCAAGTTGTTAGGTTCTCTTATATTCCTGCTCCCATTCCGACAAGATCAGGAAATCTTTTATCTAGCCTGGAGCCAAGCTTGTGTAGCTGGTCTTTTGTAAGCCTATACTAGAGATGAATAACTACATTCAATCCTTTTAGATATAACTTGGCTGGGAACTGAAGATTTGATGGGAAGGACATGAAGTGTCTTATTATTCATTCCACAATTCGATTTATTAAGCAATTTTGTATGCTAGAAAGACTCAAAGTTAGAATTTAGAAAGTAAGCATTAACATGGTCTAATAGTGAATTAAATATAGTTCAAACTTTCCCCACATCTTTGGTTCAGCACGTGGTGTGTGAAATGCTGAATTTGGTGCATGGCACAAGTTAGATCCCACTGACTGAAGTCGATCTAGTATTAAGTTAGAGCAGGATAGAGGGGCAAGCCCATACTCCTTCCAAGCTCCAATCCTGAGAGAACAATTGGAATTGGGCCAGCTAAACCCCAAGGAATTTCTTGGTATCTCACACAAACATAATATTCTCGAAAAACTTTTACTTTTCAAATTAAGCAAATCTATCAAAAAGTTCTAATTCACATGGTCGAAAACACGTCACTACTTGCACCAAGCCGCGCGCATGAGCTACTATTTTCTTATAGGGATACACAACATTTTGGCACAATTCATGCAAGGGTAACTTGCATTTGTTTGTGCTTAAATTCTTTGGCAAGATTTGCAACTTTGGTTCTTGATTCTTTTTTTTTTGGCGGGGGGGGGGGTTATAATTGAACTTCATGTCAAAAGAAAGCCCAAAAGCCCAAATTTGCAAGAAAGTTTTCAATCACATTGGTGCACTGATACAACGTAAATACATGTAGGCAGATGTATATTTGACAACCAAGAAACCCCGAGGACATGTAGTGGACGGTTTGAAACTCTGTTTAAGAGGTGGCTATCCTTTTCCACTTAAATATCAGGCTTCTGTCTAAGGGAAGGCTCAAACTGTGGCATGCAACTATTTGTTATACATGATTTCTTGAGAACAAGAAGAGCATAAGAAATAAGAATTGTAAAGAAGAGGCTCGATGCACATGCATAACTGTAACGGTTAGTAGACTGAATATTTAGCCAGAACACTTTAATGACCTTGTCAAGTCGGAGTCGGATAGATATGTTTTTCAAAAATAATGGTAAAGGTAGAAAAGACTAAAATATTTCATGTTAGAATAGAATAGGTATACACAATCCTACACAGAATAGGAATAGTTTATAGTCTCCTATTTGGTAAGGAACTGTATCATAGTGTCTATAAATAGGGTTCTATATGTAATAATTAAAACACAATTCAATAATATTCTTTTCATATATTTCTCACATGGTATCAGAGCAATAGTGAGAGAAAAAAAAGAGAAGCAATTTTTGTAGTTTTTTCCGGTAAACTAAGTGGCTGTCCGGGTATTTAATTTTTCCATCACTGTTTTTCGAAAATCAACACCACCACTAGGTGCGGAAATCTCCGACGAGAAAAGCCCAGTCAACCTCACCGGCAACAGCTGCCACACACGCCCTCACGCACCGCCGGAATAAATTCTCCGGCGAGCTTGTCAGGTCCACGCGCTGGCGCGTGGAGTATTTTCCGGCCACTTTTTCGACTTGTTTCTTTTTCTAGTGGGGTCGCCTCTTCATTCCAAGGCAGCCCATATATTTTTTTCCTGATTCCGACCAATATTTGGCGATCAGATCTACTTTTCCGGCAACAACCCTATTTTTCAGATTCCGAAAAAAAAAACATATTCTAATTTCACAACTTGATACTTTTGGCTCCAAAAATATAGGAATTGGAAGTTCAAGCCCTATGATCACTTCAGAACCGTTAATGAGAAGCTCAAACTATTTAGCTTGGGCTTCCTCAGTTGAGTTGTGGTGCAAGGGTCAAGGTGTCGAAGATCACTTAACGAACATTGCTTGTGTGGTAGATGAAAAGGCAAAGGCTAGTGGGGAAGATGCAAAAGCCAAAGCACAATGGGAGAAGGTTGATGCTCAGTTATGTAGTCTCCTATGGCGATCTATTGATTCCAAGTTGATGCCTTTGTTCCGTCCATTCCAAACATGCTATTCAGTTTGGGAAAAGGCTCGTGCTTTATATACTAATGGCATATCTCGATTCTATGATGTGATATCTCATATGACCAATTTAAAGAAACAAGAATTAGATATGTCCACCTACTTGGGACAAGTATAGGCAGTCATGGAGGAATTTGAAACATTGATGCCAGTCACTACGGACGTGCAAAACAACAAAACCACAGACAGACATAGTTTCAAGTTCTTACACTTGCTGGACTTCCTACTGACCACCCTACAATTCCTACCGTAGATGAATTATTCTCTCGCCTACTTCGTCTTGCCACACCTCACAGCCACAAAGCAGTTTCGTCACCTACCATTGACTCATCTACACTCGCATCTCAAACAATAGAAAAACGACTATATAAATCTATGGAGAATCGACGAGGAGGAGGTTGTCTTGGAAAACCTCGATCCAAGTGTAGTTATTGTCACAAGTCTGGACACACTCGTGACATATGCCATAATTTGCATGGTTCACCACCCAGTTATGATCCTGTTGTTCTAAAGGAATATAATGAGTTCCTTCGTAATCGTGCAAGTAAGCAAACATCTCCACAAGAAGCATTTGGTACTCCGCCTGATCGACCATCCCATAATGCTCATATTGCTCAATCAGAATATGATGAGTTCCTTCAATATCAAGCAAGTAAGCAAACGTCTCCACAAGTAGCTTCGGTTGTTCAACATGATGTTGCTGTTGCGGGTAATTCTTTTGCTTATGTTTCACAGTTTAATACTCATGAATCATGGACTCGAGCGCTTCTAATCATATTTCTGGTAACAAATCACTTATGTCACATATTGTTTATTCACAATCTCTTCCTGCTATTACTTTGGCTAATGGGATCCAAACAAAACCAAAAGGGGTTGGAAAAGTGACACCCCTATCTTCTGTCACACTATACTCTATTCTTTATGTCCCTGGTTCCCCTTTTAATCTAGCATCGGTTAGTCGTTTGACACGTGCCCTACATTGTAGCATAACCTTTTTTGCTGATTCTTTTCTTCTGCAGGACCGCAGTACGGGACAGATGATTGGCACAGGACATGAATCACAAGGCCTTTAATAGCTTACCTCTTCAAATTCCTTCACAGCATGCTCTGTTACAAATCCTCCGGATGTCATTCACAAATGTTTGGGAAATTCTAGTCTATCTAAACTGCAATAAATGGTGCCTAGTTTATCTAAATTAGATTGTGAGTCATGTCAACTTGGGAAACACACTCATGCCACATTTTCATGTGGTCCTGAGGGTCGTTCAGAGTTTATTTTTTCATTAGTTCATTCAGATATTTGGGGTCCTAGTAGAGTTAGTTCCACCTTAGGATTTCATTATTTTGTTAGTTTCATTGATGATTATTCAAAATGTACTTGGGTTTTCTTAATGAAAGATCGTTCTGAGTTATTTT